GAAGGTTGCAGTGAGCCAAGATCGCGCCACTGCACTCCAGCCTCAGGACAGAGCAAGACTCCGTCTCAACAAGAAAAGAAGGAATGCTGGCCAGGCGCGGTGACTCACGCCTGTGATCCCAGCCCTTGGGAGGCTGAGGCAGGTGGGTCACTTGAGCCCAGGAATTCGACACCAGCCTGGGCAACATAATGAGACCCTGTCTCCATACAAAATATTAAAAAATTAGCTGGGTGTAGTGGTACATGTCTGTTGTCCCAGCTACTTGGGACCCTGAGGCAGGAGGATTGCCTAAACTCAGGAGACAGAGGCTACAGTGAGCCGAGATCGCACCACTGTACTCCAGCCTGGGAAACAGAGCAAGACCCTGTTTTGAAAGAAAGAAAGAAAACAGACTGCCACTTGCTACTTTGAACATACTATTACCGAGGAATGTCTATGACAGACCCGTTCAACCGGTCCCCATTTCTGACCCTTGACTCTTCCTGCCTGGGGTTGGGAGTCAAAGGTCAGAAATGGGGACCTGCTCAGGGGAGGGGGAGGATGCTCAGCTTACGTCATCTCTGGTCATTTAGAAATGCAGCAAGCCTAGTCACCCAGATTTCCGGCCTTCTCTCTTGCTGCTTATTCTTTGATTCTTATGAAACGGATGTTAATGTGCAAACGCTGTGTGCACCTGGGTAGAGCCAAGTGTTCATGGGTCGTGTGCTTGTCGCCCCCTGCCGGCCGCCTGCTGCCCTGGCCTGAAATAGCCGCTTCTCCATCAGGGTCCCCCGGGAAGACGGAGGAGCCAGGGCCACCCTCACGTCGCCCTGGCAACAGCATCCGTGATCAGACTCTAAGGCAACTGGGAACCATGTGTGCTCCCCGTGGGAGGCCACAGGTTCGCGTTGGTGTCCTGGTGAGTATGTCCCCTGACCCTACTTTCTGGAAGGCGAGAGTTGGCTTCTAGGCACCCACCCGCTGTATCCCAACCTTTGCACAGCACCGGCATCCTGGAGGTGTTCTGCTTTTGGAGAAATCATGACTTACATGAAAAGGTGCCCCCCTCCTCGCCAGTGTGTAATGTTGTCCATGCCCTGGGTTTTGGCCACAACAACACGTGTCCAGTGGCTTCTCATTGCTGTTTGAGTTTACATATCCCCATTAGCGCATGACGCAGAGACGTGTCCATGATTCATAAAGTCATCGGTCAACAATTTCCCCGTATCCAGGGAACATGTGAGGGACTGGCATGCCAGGCATGTTTTGGTGGGGCCCTACATAGAGCATCTGGCAGGAGACAGAGGAGCAGGAGGCCTCCACGACTTCGCAGCAATTCCACCTGCGCCTGGTTTTCACCCCGGGTGAGTTTCCACCAGCTCCCCGGAATAACCAAGTCTGTGTTTTACTTTCGACATTGACAGTGTTTCCAGCAGCTTCTGCAATCCCCTCTGCTTTACCCGAGGCTACAGCAAAAAAGAAAAAGAAAGAAACATAGGCAAATGTGAGATATGAATCAGAGTG